GTGGCTCGAGCGACGTGTGCCCAAGCGCGATCCCGGGCCTGTTGTTGCATGGCCAAGGCCTTTGGCAAGCAATCGCCAGCGGACGGCTGCCAGCACTGATGATGCACGAGCTTCCGAACGCGGCCGTCTCGACATAAAACTGGTTCAGGATCCTCCACGACACAGAATTTAGCACCCAACTTCCTGTCCGAAAATAGATGCGTGAGGACATTGCTTTATCAAAGACGGGGAGGTGCGGGTCCACTGGCACCTGTTTGTCCCTGGGCGCTTCGGCCGCGGCGCCGCCCGAACCGCTGGACCCACCAAAACTTACTGGCAGGAGACGTATCCCAGGGTAGCGTGGACAAACTGCGTTGAGGTTCGTTCGCAGCCAGGAGCGAGCAGTGGTTGCCTCGCCAACGTTGCTGTCGCAATCGTCGTCAGCGCAGAACTGCGCAATAATAATCTCGATGTGGGCCAGAGCAGCGGGCGTCTGGGGGCATCCGCGCAGGCAAGCCGAGTCGCCTCCTGATCGCCTCGTCCCACTCGCGGTCGGTCAGGGCTGCGGCTGCTGGTCGTCGTCGTCGTCGTCGTCGTCGTCGTCGTCGTCATCGTCGTCGTCGTCGTGGTCGTCGTCGCCGTCGCCGTCGCCGTCGCCGTAGCCGTCGCCGTCGCCGTCGTCGTCGTCGTCGTCGTCGTCGTCGTCGTCGTCGTCGTCCGCGTCCTCTTCCTCCTTCTCCTTCTCCTCCTCCTCCTCCTCCTCCTCCTCATCTGTCCTCCTCCTCCTCCTCCTCCTCCTCCTCCTCTTCCTCCTCCTCGTCCTCCTCCTCCTCCTCCTCCTCCTCCTCCTCCTCCTCCTCCTCCTCCTCCTCCTCCTCCCCCTCATCTTTCATCCTCCTCCTCTTCCTCCTGCTCTCTTGTCCTCCTCCTCCCCTTCTCCTCCTCCTCCTCCCCTCCTCCTCCTCCTCCTCCTCCTCCTCCTCCTCCTCCTCCTCCTCCTCCTCCTCCTCCTCCTCCTCCTCCTCCTCCTCCTCCTCCTCCCTCCCCCGTCACTCCCCACGGCTCCTTTTTGCCGTCGTCGTTCTCCTCCTCCCCCGTCCTCCTTCCTCTCGCCGGGCCGCCCCCCCCCCCCTCCCCTGGGGCCTGCCGACGCCCCGCAGCTTCATCCGCGAAGGCCTCCCCCGCGACCTCGCGGCCGCCAGTCTGGACCACACGCCCTGGCACGGCCGCGCCGCCGCTGCCGCCTTTGCCGCGCCGCCGCATTCGCGCCGCGGCTGTCCTCGTACAGGACGGTCGGATACTTTTGATTACCGTGTCGCGGCAGCAGCCCCGGCCACACGCTACAGGCCCTGCGAGCGGATCGCGTGTCGCTCCGCTCCGCAAGGCGGGATGCTGGGAAAGAATCGAGACGTTGACGCTCAGGGACTGGCGCGTGGACAGCGTGTCGCGCCGAAACCCGGTGGGCCAGAGCCGGTGGAGCGACACGCTAAACCGAAGTCCCTGACCGTAGATGCATACGGTCAGAAATTATTATATATCCTAGGGCACGCTTGCTGAATATATATATATATATGTACATATATACAGTATCATATATATATATATATACATATATATATTTATGTATACACACATATATATATATACATATCAACTTCCTAAAGAGCCACAGTGCTTCTGCGGGTCCCCTGGGCCATCGGGGGATACGACATTTCCGTGGGGCACTTGCCCAGATCTCCGACTGTTTCGTGTTTTTCCCAACCATCATGTGGTGTTGGGTCCTCGTTTTGAAGAGACGGTGCCCCGCGTTCCCGCCTCCTTCCTCCCTCCCTCCTCCCCCCTCCTCCCCCTCCCACACCCATTCTGGCACACCCCTCACACGTTTCGTGGCCCCATAGGGAGCTCCAGCGAAGGCCCCAGTGGCTGCGTCCGCATGCGGTTCCACCCCCCATTTCGGCACACCCCTCACACGTTTCGTGGCCCCATAGGGAGCTCCACCGAAGGCCCCAGTGGCTGCGTCCGCATGCGGTTCCACCCCCCATTTCGGCACACCCCTCACACGTTTCGTGGCCCCAGGGGGAGCTCCAGCGAAGGCCCCAGTGGCTGCGTCCGCATGCGGTTCCACCCCCCATTTCGGCACACCCCTCACACGTTTCGTGGCCCCATAGGGAGCTCCACCGAAGGCCCCAGTGGCTGCGTCCGCATGCGGTTCCACCCCCCAGCGCCCCCTGGCTGCGTTCGCATTTGCGTTTCGTGGTCCCATAGGGAGCTCCACCGAAGGCCCTGCGTCCGCATGCGGTTGCACCCCCCATGTCGGCACACCCCTCACACGTTTCGTGGCCCCATAGGGAGCTCCACCGAAGGCCCCAGTGGCTGCGTCCGCATGCGGTTCCACCCCCCATTTCGGCACACCCCTCACACGTTTCGTGGCCCCAGGGAGCTCCAGCGAAGGCCCCAGTGGCTGCGTCCGCATGCGGTTCCACCCCCCATTTCGGCACACCCCTCACACGTTTCGTGGCCC